GGTAGATTTGGACATGCTCTATGGTGGGGATTGGGGTAGATTTGGGGCACTCTAAGGCTCGTTTTGCGGCATTGTCTGGGTGCAGATTTCCATAGCTGTGTTTCCTGCCCCCCCATCTGTTGCCCCGGGTAGTCCTGCAAAGCTCCTTATTGAGGAATATTTCTCATGATGTCCACCTGCTGCTCTTTTCTGATCCGATCTTCCCTCTCTGCACACAATGCCAAGGAAACGAGCCTCTCCGATCCGCCAGCTGTGCCCAGCCATTGGCAAGAAGGTCATCCAGGTCTCACCCCCACAATCCTTTCCTGTATTTGATGCTTCCAGCACATCGTGGGGAGACATTTGGATGCTGTTCTCTGGTGCCACATCCTGCCTTTGTCTGACTCCCAGGGTGTGTGTTGGTTCCGGGGCCCAGTATGGGGGCCCACAAGTTCAGACTATTTCTGCTTTACTTCCTGAAATGGTAAAAATCACTTTTTGGCATAAAGAAAACCAATGGGGAGCTAAGCGCAATACATGGTGTGCCGGACGGGGCCACTTTACCAATATGGCCGCCGTGCTGGGCGAGTGATGGGTCTGGATAGCTGTGGATGTGGAGAATGGATTTGGCTGCATTGTTAACATCTTATTGTTCTGCTTCCAGCGTCTCAACAGCAAGTTCTGATTCCAAGCAACGATTCCAAGCTGATCCATCACATGACTTCTCAAGGAATGGTACGATCCGGGGGAGCTCTGCCTCTCTGAACTCGTATGTCCCTAATCAGAAAATAAACCAGTCACTGAAAGTGTTCTCCATCTCTTGCAGAGTGCGGCGGCTACAGCGGCCACCCTGGCACTACCCGCCGGCGTGACACCTGTTCAGCAGCTCATCACCAATTCTGGTAAGCATGGTGGGGTCCTTGGTGGCAGTTCTGCAGTTGGAATACAAGCTGACAATGCTGGGAGGGGATGGCTGGGCATAGTAGTGGGGGGCTATCTTCTTTTATTGGGTATTCAGAATCTGACTTGCTGGTGGTCATTGTCCTATGTGGTATGTCCAGGGGGGGGGTGAAGGTGGAAGGTTCTCTTTACAGTATAAATCTTCCATCATTTTACTCAGTACTGCTGTC